TTGCGCTCATCATCCTCTGCGTTGGAAGGGGGACACGTGGAACGAGAAGGCGTCTGCCGTGATGAGTCGCCTCGCGTCAGAGCGGGCGGTGATCTATGAGCCCACATAATCAATTCTCAGACCGCAGAGTCTCCGGAAATCCCGGGCGAATTGAAGCGACTGAATACTTCCGAGAGAATCAGAGAAAACAAGTGGTATTTCACGTACTGCTCATTGCAGGGGAGTTCCGTTTCATAATCGCGAGCTCCATCCCCGGTGAGCGAGAAACGCGGGCAATGGAAATGAACATCTATCCTAATCCACCAGGGTAACGGAGTATGTCTCGGGGATCGGCATTTCGGTCACCCACCCATATCCGTTCTCGAGATCATCTCTCTTGGCTGGTCCCATCCAAAAATGTCCCGACGAGAGGCATTCCACAAGTGCACGTCGATGCACTTCCTCATGTGCACACATCCAGCTACTGGTGCCCCTTTCGTCCTTGTAGCATTCATCACCCGGACGCATGCAGTTCTGTATCGCCGTTCTGGACGCTCTGATCGAGCTGAGTTTCAACAAATATCCCGCGCAGCATTGAGCTCGGGATGCTGCTCGGATTCAGCCACCTGCTCGGAGGCTTCTCCAACTCATCGCGGTAGTCTGCTCTCGTCTTTAGAATGCTGCACTGAAATTCCCGAAAATGGAGGCGAGGCCAGAAAAAAATTCTCGATGGACGGAAGATATCGACGTGAGCAATGGCATGAGCAAGTGAGTTTCGGACATGTTCTCGTTGAAACACCGAGAGAAGGGAGGCGACTACTCCTTCGACTCCAGCGGTCTTGGGCTAGGATGTTCAATACCCGAGGACCGTCCCTCGTTGAGGTTATCTGGCGGAGCTGAGGTCGTAAATCAATCTCTTCCATCCTCTTTCAGGAGAATCCCTCGAGGACCTCAACCATCTCTACACCACCCATCGACCATGGTCCTCGCCTCCAGAACTCCAGAAGATCCAAAGATGAAGCCGAAGGCGAGAAAGAAAACCGAGGCGCCCCCCTGCTCTCAGCCTCTCCGGTTCTCAATGAAATCGAGATTGGGACCAGCTGACGAAGATCTCGCGACTGCCGGAACGATTCGGCTCAGAAAAGAGCGCACGGTTCAGAAAATGCTGTTGTTCAACTTTGTCCGAGGAAACCGCTGCCTCGTGTTCGATAGGCGCCGGCTTGGACTTCTTCGAAATGAGAACTCCGCTCTTGTGTTTCATCTTCCTGGTGTTCATCGTGCGATACGCGGACGGATTCTTCGTCACTGTCATAAAACTGCCATCTATAGGAAATTTCCTCGCGTTGCTCACGGTAGGCTTGCTGAAGCTCACTCTAGGCTCCGCATTCGCCGAAGTGGTGGGCTTCGACTTGAGAAGTCTGAGGTCCCCCGGAGTCGATCGGGATCCGACGCAATACAACATGGTCAGCAGAGGTCTCGCCGAGGAGAGAATCAAGGAATCGTTGGCGGAGTACGACGTGCTCCGCGGGCTCATACCCATCAAACATGAAATGTTAGAAATCGGACGTCTGCTCGAGGGCCTGAACCGAACCACCGACGCAAAGGAGCTCGAGGGCCTAGCGTTCGAGGCCCTGCTCCTCATTCAAAAATTCGATAGCGATCACTGCTTGGAGAGTTTGCTCTGTATCTTCGCTGCCGGCAAAAATCCGATGGGGCAGGAGTTCGCCCTCAATGCTTCGGTTTTCCTCAAGAACTCCCTCAACGAGAAGATTGCGATCAAGTACGGAACCGCGATAGACGTGGGCTTCGCCAAGAAGAGTTTGTTGCTGTGCCGAATCGCGTATCCATGTGGACTACAGAAGTGGTACGGAGTTGCCAACTCTGTCCTCAACGCCGGCTCGCCCGACGCATCTTGATCTCAAGCAGACTGAGAGGAACTCGCCGTGCGCAGTGATGGGAGACAATCGGAAGAATCGTCACTGTTCAACCTGCAAGCGTCCCGGAAAACAGACAAGCCCGTTGCCCCTCCGCGGCCTGCACGGAAAATTTTGCGATATACGCGTCGCTCCGGCTCGGATCCAATCACAGGAACATTCTCACGCTTGCAATCCGATTTCGGTACGACAGAAGTCGCACGGAGGACGATATTCTTCGCTCGACGACAAGGTGAGCTCCTTCGAGGGGAGACGTGGAGCTCACTCCAGGAGAAAGCATCCCCCGAAGCCGTGGATCGAAGCTCTCCGGACTTCAGCGCGAATCGAAGAAACAAAATCTAAACACCTGCGGACAGGATTCGGGAACTCCAAGAACTCAGGAGGAGCCTGGCAGATGTTTTACTCGTTCTTCTGCGGCCAGAGGGAGGGCCCTGCCATGAGTCCAAGCTGCGGGAGCTCGATACGAGATATGAGATCGAATAAAAACGCCTCTGCTGTCCGTCCGTGAGCCGTTTCTCGGCCCTTTTCCTTGACCGAGTTCGACTATTGAGCATCTCGATCCTTGCGAAGAGATTTCGCGGTGTGCGAGTGCATTTGATTTTCCTGATCTCAAGTCCCCTAGCTCATTGATTGTTAAAAAATGAACCCACAGAATACGCACACTTTCGACTGGATACTTGTTTGGGTATTTTGATTTCCGACCCGTCGTCGTTGGGTTCGCGCGTTTTCCTCTTCTCGTGCGAACGTGAGTTTCACTTCGTGAAATGCCGCAACGACGCCGCGTGGGTTCGATCCCTGCTGCCGGCGAAACATGCGGGTACTCGGCCTCGAGCATCCTCGGTACGAAAGTTTTTTGGATCCGTCCTCAGAAGCCATGCGAATAACCACGTCAAACCTCAACTGTACTGGGGCGCCCTAGAGAGTTTGGGATATTCATCTGACCTAGGGAGTGATGTGGTACGGTGCGGTACGATCGAGCGGCATGTGATGTGAAGAGCTATGACATGCAATGTGTGTGCGACACAATACGGTATGATGGTTTGTGTTTGAGATACTGAATAATGAAGGACCTTTTGCTCCGACGATTGCAGTCTTGGTCTCTATCGGGGAGAGGGGGGGGGGGCTGGAGGGCGGCATCCCCGCTCCCACTCGACTTAATGTAAATATCACAGGGGATACCTATTCCCCACGAGCCTGGCGGATCGGACTGATCGCCTCTATCACAAAAGAGAGACCCTTCGAACGGTATATGCAATCCTCCGAATTTCTTGAACCACGCTCAGGCTCCTGGCAGCTCCCCGCTTAATCTATCGGTCATCAGAGCGAATGCATTAGCTTCGTCATGAAGCGGTCATTCTAATTAAGCTCCGCACATCAAAGAGTGCGGAACGAAGCCGCCTTCGTCAAAGGTCGGGGTTCCGTTTTTCATTCTAGCAGCTCCATGCGGAGGCGACGCGGCAGCTCCGCATCCGGCTGAACATCTCTCGACCAGCTCCCCTCCTCGATGCTCAGGAGGAGGTTCGGATTCAGTACCAGATACATGAAGGAATTGAGGAAGGAGAGAACATACCAGATTTGTCGAGCTCGACTGCCATGCTCTACATACTCTGAGGAAGTCTAATTATTTATAACTTTCAATAAGCAAAACCTCAAACCATAATTACTGGATCAGGAAAGAGTCTCCACTCGAGGCACGAGTGCCTCCCGTCGCGAAATCCCAGAAATACCCCCGACCATCTATTTCCGGCTCTACCTCAACCTCTACAAGCATCTTTGCTGGATACCAGATATCCATTCCTTGTCCTATATCGCCGAGTTAGGAGCGATGTTTCCTTCTGAGAACGGACCATGCACTCACGGCTCACGTTGAGGAGGCCAGCAATGCTCTTCTCGGGGACGAGAGACAGGATTCAATCGCCGACTAGGATTCTTCTACTCCGCTTGTATTATTGTACAGACACGAGAGGAGCGCCTGTATCTAACCTGGTTCACGATGGTGAGTTCATTCCATACGATTGTTCGACGCGTTCGAGACCAAGACGCTCGTAAGAACTGCATCGAGTCCACAGCTGGAAGAACATGCCCAGAAGCTCGAAATTCGGGAAGAAAGGCGCGAGCGTCGTCGCCTGCTGCTTCGCGAAGATCCTCATTCATATTCACATGAATCGGGATTTTCCGAAAGCACTCATCACTGTCCCGGGGTCCCAACCCGTCTTCAGTTCGGTCGACGCGACTTACGAAACTTCCGAGGTTGAAGAGCAGATCGTCGCCTCGGTCATGGGGTCCATCAGGATAGTAGAGGTCAACAAGAACAACCTCTGGATCGAGTTTATCAATTGCCAACCGACACATTGGTTAAGGGAATCTCATCATGCCCTTCTGACCAGAGACCATGAAAGACTGGATCCGGTATGACACATTGGCCTACGACAGATTTACCCGACGCAAGCATAGAGTCGCCTTTTTCTGTTTCAACAACATTCTATCGATGGCTGCCGGTGCCAGTACAAACATATCATGATGAGGGCCGAATCTCCTAGGTTCCGACGGAGAAAGGCCGCTGATTTGCTGGTTCTGATCGCTCGGGATTCCCATTCTGACAACATACAAGAAGCGGGAGCTTCTCCCCGACCCGAGGAGGACAGTGAGCACGACGAACGCGACTTCAGAGAAAAAGTACAAATACCGCAGCGGGAAGCGGAACGCGGGCGAGAAATTCTTGAAATACCTCGCTATAATCGAACCAGAGAAGCGCGGTGCTCTTGGAGCGGCTGACGAATTCCCGACGACGTTCCTCCTGATCGCCCGCCCAATCGTTGTCGCCTGTCTCTTGGCAGAGGCAGCTAGGAATTACGTCAGTCACAAATGTTCGGGAAATCGAGGAAGAGGACTCCTTAAAACTGAAATTCTGATCTGATGCCTCGCGTGTCCGCGTGGAAGTCGACCGCCCCCTCGAATATAATCATTACATCAGGTAATTGGCACCTATTCCTGTTTAAACTCCAAGAGATATGTACTTTCGTCCTGAGAAGGCAGAAGTTGAAAAGTCCTTCCTTTAATAATAATCAACAAAACGCTCCCACTCATCAGGCTGGCCGTGAACGTTAGGAAATCTACAATATGCATGAGTTTCCGGACTCTCTACGAACACGTCGACCCGATGATTCCAATGAGCAGACATTCAGTGAACATTCCGTCGCGCAAGGAAAATCGTTGGAGGATGAGTCCCGGAGTTCCGATCTCAAATCGTCCTGTTCCCGCTACACGAGCTCCGGCTTCCTGCTCAAACTCCCAGAAGAGAGCAGGGCCCTTGGGTTCGTCGGCAGTGTCATCTGTGAGACGTATCGATCGATGCTCTTGAATTGCCATTTCCATTGGGGATTGTAGAGGAACGGACGGTGATCAAAACGATTGTCATCTGGGCTATAGCTCTCGGCGTGGTATGCCGGTGTCAAAATGGTCGTCTTGTGCCGGTTGATTGAGTACATTTTGAAGAAGTGCTTGACTTTCTTGGCCACGTCGGCTGGTCGGGCCGACGGATCCTCGGCCGTCATTCGCAGGTACATTGCCAGAGGTCCACAGCAGAGCTGCTTACGGAGTCTCCCGAAAGTCGACAGCTCTGCGTAAGTCATTCCCATGTCGGCCTCATCGGTCTGCACCACCTGACCGTCTTTGAGCGGAGTCAGCTCGGCGGTGGGAGGAGCATCGAGGATACCTGTGAAGGATTCGTCGGATTATGAAGGGCATTGCGTCAGCTGATCGCATCTGCACAACGAATGTTTTTTATTTGAGAGGAGGTCGCCCCACGTAGAGGAAAATGAGTCAACTCACAGGAAAGCGCCGTCAGGTTGAATTTGTCGACTGAATACTTCAGAAAACTTTTGAGATCCGTTTTTGAAATAGATCCGATTGGGTTTATGTCGCCGCTCGAACAATCGTATTTCGTGAGGTAACCCCTCAGAGCTTCGTCGACGTTTCCCGTAGCGAGCACCAGGAGCCCTCCGGGTCTGTCCTTGACCCACAGCATCAATTGCGCGAACAAATAACTCAGCAGCATCCTGATCCTGGCCTGAACATTCTGCAGGGCCAAATCCTCGCGAGGGGTTCCGCCGTGAGCTTGAAACTTGGGAATGCGACCACCAATCACAGCTACGAATATCGCTGGAAACAGAGCGGGAAGTCCACATGTTAATCGGGCTTCGATCAGAAAAGACTCGAATACTTTCCTAATTCAATTCCAATGAGAAACACAATGCCGTTCTCACCGATGATGGCTTTCACAGCCGTATCGATGATTATGTTTTGATGGTTCGATCCGATCTGAGCCGCCAAGCTGCTGGCTGCCGCTTTGGTCGTCCCTGACGAGTTCTCCGTGCCCATATAACAAGTGAATAAAAGCTTCTGGCATATATGTTTCGCTCCATTCTCTTCGGGTGGAACGTATTTCTGATCCCCGATCACCATCCTGAGATCAGCGAGAACCTCCTGACTCCCCGCACGAATTGCCTCGTCTATCATTGAGCACATGGAATACGCTATCGTCGCGACAGACGCCGAATCCACACCGCCGCTCAGAGGCAAGAAGAAACCCCCCTGACCGGAACGTCTGCAATCCCACAGAAAAGTAGAGTTGGCATGATTCATTTTCGGAAATTCCGAGTTAGTTCCGAAGAATTCTCCGAAAGCTTCTGACTGAGCCATCTTTACCTGAGGTAATCCCAGAGCCAGCACGCGGGACCCTTCGCGATCTCTTCTTCGGCATCCATCTCGGGCCATTCGATAGCGGAGTTCGCTAGACCTCCGATGGCCGACACCAAGTAGGTGTCGGCTTTCACTCTCGGATACGTGCAGGTACTGGCGGAGGCGATACCCCGTGATCGGAACGTTGCCCTCTTCGCGCGGATATCCTCCACGAAAAACTTGGCAGTGACAATCTCGACCTCGTCGAGGCCGAATTGGCGGCCGACGGCAAGAAACTTGCCATTCATCGATATATTCGAGAGACCCTGGTAGTAGACCCGCTCCCCATCACAGCCCCGCAAGTTCGAGAAGACGTAGACACAGGCAGATTTCAAAGACGCTGATGTGACCAAATCCCTTATGAGGTCCCTCTTCCGCAACTCGTGGTAGGAGCCCGATGAGTTGAAAATGATTTCGGCTCCGGCTAGGCAAGCGTCCACATTTGTACTACGGACAAAGAGAATTTTTCAAGAGACGTTCGGATGGATCGGGAGGAGAGAGGCTCATTATAACGCGAAAATCACCTGTCCGGGTTCCACAGTTCTTCGCAGATTTCGAAGCCGATGACTGAGTCTCTGGTTTCCAACAAAGCATCGCCGAATGGCACTCGCGACTGTTCTGTGATACGCGCGACCATCGGAGGCAAAGAGAAGTCCTCGACGACTTTGGGGCGACACCAAGGAGTGAACCAGCGTGACTCCCTGCAATCGAGAGAACTCCTCGGTCAGAGATTATCAGCATAAAAACACAGCTTCGCATGAATGAGGTTGAAGGACTATCTAACAGAATCCCCAGGGAGAAGCAGGATCGGCTCACCGGTAATTCCCGTCGTCGCAAAGAATCATTTTTGGTCTGATGAGCAGAATTTTCTTGTTGAGAAAAATTACGCGCACGTTATAGAGAACTCCCTGATGCTGCACGGCCATACCAACATCACAGATTATATCCTGAAAGAAATATGTCCATACAGGAAACTTCTTCAAAAATTCTATATATGGCCTGAAGTCGGAAGGACATTCCCACGGCTCCTTACAAATGTCGTCGGGTCGTCGAGAAGCTTGGCGAGCACTTCCCATGAATGCAACTCGGTGTCGTTCTCGAAGAAGTGATCCGCACAGCCGTAGCCTCTGCGGAAAGAACAATCGAACCACTCAATGTATCCGTCTCCGAAGTTTCATGTGATGCTTCAGAAAATTTCTCCACACTGTACTTACGGAATCTCTAGCTCAGGACCACTTCTGAATTTCGATCCAGCTGCTTTGGCGCGTTTGATACCTGTTGAGTACAATGAGAATGACAAGGTTGTTTCCTCTCGCTGTGGAATGCCGCTGTCTCGAAGTCTGTCCCAGATACCGTTACTCACTCTCAAGGATCCGGCGGTAATTCCCCGTGAAGTCGAGCGCCCATTGGTTCAATGTGCAACCGGAAACACAGAAGACTGATGCCATCGCTTCTTTCATGCGTCGAGAAGGGTCCGATAAGTCGAATTAGGAAAGAGCGTCTCAGACTGGTGTCGGAACACTCACGCGGTTTCCGAAACCGTTATATGATAAGACGACGGGGGAACCTTTGGAACGTCAACAACGACGGAGCTGACGAAGTTGCGGCGCCTTCGCCGGTGTTCCCGAGCTCCTGACAGCCGTTTCCGCGAGGCTGATGATTCAGATCGGCTCTAAGATGAATCATGCGCTCCGGAGCGAGGAAAACCACTCTTTTGACTCATGTACGCGATTCATAGCATCGAGATCGGTGTACAGAAACGGTCCGGGACACAAAATGATAGTATTCAATGTGACGGCTGACGGACTCTTCAGAGAGAGAGAGAGCAGACGGTTGAGGCTAGCGCGCAATTTGAAAGTCAGGGAAGGGACTCGATCGAAGATCCAGAGTATGAGCTGAGGCTCCCCGTTCGCTAGCCTAAAGAGAAGGTGAAGGGGATCCGCGGAAAAACGCTCGTGCACCGATTCCGACTCGGGTGCTCGCGCGCACACGCGATCCAAGTTGGTTTCCCATTGGAGTCTGGGCGCATGGGGCATAGCTGGATTATATAAGTCACTTGGAGACCTGGACCCCGCTCGTTTGGTCGGACTACGCGGATCGGGAACAGTCTTAAGCGCTGATATTCCGCATTTCGCTGACAGGCTGATTGTGTGAGCAGAGCTGTCGCTCTTGGAAATGCCCGATCCGGGGGGGCTGGAGCTGGGATGAAAATTCCAAGATCTTCCGAATTGGCGCGATTACACCTCTCGGTGCGGGAGCTCCCCTGGGATGCGAACATGATACATTCTTCGCCAAAGCTCACTTTTTGAACGACTCTGGAGAAAGTGCCTGTGGCCGTGGCGCGACGTGGGTCAATGATCTCACAGTCTGTTGGCTTTGCGTCGAAGACTGATTCCAGCGAAGCAGCTCCCGACCTCTAAGACACAAGCTTCTCTCCGGGGCCCGACAGATCGAGAAATATCTATGTGCGATCGAGGTTCGCTTGGATTGAAAATAAATTGCATTCTTGAAGCATCAGGCTCCGCAAACGTGACGGATACGCCATGGGAACGTGAGAATTACGTGACTAGGGTACAACGTACAACTTATGAAAGAGCTCCCCAACAGGGAGGGGAAGTCTCAGTTTCTGAGCTGGAGGGGGCTCTAGCGTGACAATCATGACATGAGTCAGTGCTTTCGGGGAAGCGGGCAACGATATTCAATGTGCCCATGTGCGACAACGAGCATCGATCAGAATCGACGGTTCCTTCGTTGACCGTAATTCCTCCTTGTGTAATAATGCGTGTAATGTTATACATATTTATATTTCATGCACATATGTTCACTTTCGAGAGTTGATAGATTACTGATTCCCACGTACTTGGGCTCTGGCTCGAGTCCGACAACTTCCTTAACAGTTTTTGACAGAGTCAGTGTGAAAAGAAACACAAGCCGCAGGATAAGCTAATGTTTCTCAACAGCGACAAACTCGAGCTAATCCAACGGCAACACAGATTGCAGAAGTATATTACTCCAAAGTCATGCGCCAAAGTCTCTCACATGGAGATTCCTATGAATGCCTGTAGATACAAAAACATAAAGATTGGCGCGAAGCGCCCGCACGGCTGGTTTCCCGATAATCCCCGACTTCAGCAAGGTCTCT